ATCATCTTCATCCTGGGTGTTTCTGGAAATGGTTTGGTGATCTGGATTGCAGTGTTTAAGGTGAAGAAATCTGTCAATGCTACCTGGTACTTGAGTCTGGCTGATTTCCTCTTCTGCTCCACCCTGCCCTTGGGTATTGTTGAAGCTGTCAAAAAGGAGTGGATCTTTGGGCTTTTCATGTGCAAGCTCATATTCTTCATCATGTACTTAAATTGGTTCAGCAGCATTTTCCTCCTCGTCATCATCACTGTGGACCGCTGTGTGGTTGTTATGTTTCCTGTGTGGGCTCAGAACAAGCGCACCATAAGAAAGGCTTCTGTGATAGTCCTGCTAGCCTGGATCATGTCAGCAGCACTTAGCCTACCGTCAGCCTTTTACTCTGATATTAAGTATGATGACCACAACCTGATAACTATTTGTGACAGAAATTACAAGAGCGATCAAGAGAAAACTGTGGATGTGGTGTGCAAATTCATTTTTGGATTCTTGATCCCGTATCTGATCATTATCATCTGTTATTTTGTCATTATTCGAAAGCTGAAGTCCAACCAGATGGCGACGTCCAAAAAGCCATTTAAGATCATAACGGTGCTGATAATTACTTTCTTGATCTGCTGGCTGCCTTTTAACACTTTTATTTTGATGGAACTAGACTATGAAAAATATAAGAGTTTTCACCTGTCAGGATTAACAGTTGTTGTCGTTCTTGCTAATGCTAACAGCTGTCTGAACCCATTTCTTTATGCTTTCATGGGGAAGGACTTTAAGGACCAATGTTATGCACTTCTGTCCAAGATTGAGAATGCAATAGCAGAAGAGGATGACCAGTCCGAGGCACAGTTCTTACCACCTCTGGGGAAAGCAAGCTTTCAACTACTGTCTGAAGTGTTCAGTAACAGTTAAAAGACAAAACTGGCCTTTCAGTTTTTTACTAAATACAATTTATTTTCTTCAGCCAGTTGCATGCTTATTATAACACTGCTGATAGTAACAGAGGAAATAAATATGCCTGCAAAAGTGCCTCAAAAATGATGGCATAACTGATTTTTTTTTTATTCAATGCAAAAAAAATCATAATGAACATTTATTAAAATTACTTTTATGATTTAGTGTACTATATTTCACTATTAGCTGTTCACTTAATATTCTATGTAGTTTTCAGATTCTTACCTTAATACTTCATCATTATTATTATGTTGCTGTGCATATGATATCTAATAACTTGTTAGCTTAAGCACACATGATATCCAGTCACTTATTGTTAGCTTAAATTTATCTTTTACTGTAAAGGTATATTAAGTCTTTGCAGCTATTTTCTACCATTGAGGCTATTGTGTTGTATCTGCCATTATGTGCTCAACTTGCACCAGTATAGCAGATCAACATGACTGCTAATTTGAAAATCATTTTAATTAGATCACTTGGGTTTTTCAAAGTTTCTGTCACTCAATAGTTGAGATGTGAACAAAGTCATTCAAAGTGGTTTGAAATAAAATTGTAAATTTCAAACCAGTCTTTACAGTGGTGATATGTGGTGGTGATCGGGTCACACTTTTTAGAATATAAATAAAGCCATTTTACTTACTATCCAAAACAACAAGTGAGCCACTAAGTAGACGTGTTATCATAAAAAAAAGGAGTACACTTTGGGGACTACTGTGTCTTGTAACGTCTTGAATGTACCTCTCCATCATGACTGTTTCAATAAAACACATTTTAGGCCAAGCCCTCTGACACTATTAAAAAACAACGTCTCCGGCAGCAGGCAGCATATTCATAACCATTTAGAGTAATAACTTTCTGCCAGGAAGTTTTAATTTCTATGTATTTTGCTCAATTTAACATGTGAAAAAATAAAATCTTAAAAGATAAAGCTTTTTATTTTGGTGTTAATTTCAACAAATACACAGTAACTTAACAACTGTTGTTTTCTTGGCCTTTCTTTTCAAGACATTTCCAATACAACAGTTTGGAATGTCCTGAAAAAGAAAGAAACCACTCATGAACTGACAACCAGACAACAAACAGGTCAGCCAAGGAAAACAACTTTAGAAACATTGTGAGAGCTTTGAGAAAGGTCAAGGAAAACAACAGAAGTTGATGATAAAAACAGTGTGAGAGCTGTGAAGAAGGAAAAAAAAAAACAGGCCAGCTTGGAATTCACAGAGAAATACAAAGTTCTAGTTTTCTAGTCCAGAGTTTTCTGGGCTGATCACACCAAGATTAACCTTTAACAAAAGTGTTGTAAAGGTCATATGTATATATATACATACATACAGGGATTTGTATCCAATCCAATCAAAACTATATTTAATCTAATCATCATGTAGCAAGATCAGGGCTGTAACTAGGATCAAAATTTTAGTGAGGTCCAATGTGCAAAAATCTTTACCTTTTTACCCATTCATAACTGTTATGCACCTTTTCCTTTCATTTGTTCCCTCGCCATCCCTCCATTCTTCCACAGACTGCTATTACTCTTTTATAAACTGATTTGACCCCAGTTGTCCTATTTCAGTTAATTAGTTATGCAACTATTTATTTGTGTTTATTTTGAAAAAAAATTGCTAAAAATACATGATGAAATCTACACTAAATGAAGCGATAGTTTAAATCGATTTTATTTCATTTACTTCTCTCTCATGCATCTCTGTCCTCACTGATTACTGAAGAAGCACACATTATAAAAGGCTGTCTGTACCAAACCCAAGCTAATGGAAAAGGCAGCAGCAACTCATAAAATTAATAAGACAAAATACGGCCTATTATTCCTGCTGTTTTCTTAATAATGTTAGCTACATGATACTATATGATCAATATGTTGGTTAACAGTAAACATTCTCATGCTGGCTGTAGTATATTATGTGTAGATAATACAATACAACTTTAATTTCTCAGCTAATTGCTAATATTGCCAACTACAGAGCTTGTAGCCTAAACTGAGCAGCTACTGGAGATAGACTAAAACATGCTGGTTTAGCCAGCAAGATTACGAACAGTCCAAACAAAAAATAAAATATGCGGTTTGCATTTTACAATCTTAATGTGTTAATTGCGCTCAGAAACTCTAAGCTTTTTTACCATAGCAATGTTATCTGTTAGCCTATAGCATGTGTGCTGCATACCTGAACATCTCAAGAAGTCAAAGATACTCTGGTACTCAGGGCTGTGTAGCAGCTCGTACAGAGATGAACAGCGTGGGAAGTAAAATCTATGGCTGAGCCACAGCTGTTCTGAGGTCAGCTGAAAACCAGTCACTGCTCAATGGGAAGTTACATCACTTTCTTTCAAATTGAATAAAACCCTTCAGAGACTTCTGAGGACCTCGGTGTCATAACGCTGGTTATAAACATTATGAGTAGGTCTGTGACAACGTGGCTGCAGCCCTGAGTAGACTACCACATTATCATAAGGGCGCAGTTTCTACATTTATTCTCATGAACAGAGAAAAGTGAAAAAAAATCCTTTTGAAACTACCAAGGTCTGGACCTCGGTGTCCTTATAGCTATGGCATCACCCTCCTAGCTAGTTACGGCTATGAAGTCCGCCTCTGTGCCCCCATCCTCAGCCACGATCCTGCCGAGGTACGTAAACTGATCAACTTCGTTGACTAGCTGGTTCCCAATTGTAACCCTCTGCGTTTTGTGGTTGACACTCATGATCTTCATCTTCTCTGCACTGATTCATAACCCAAACTTCGCGGCTTCTTCCTCAATGCTGGTGATTATTTGTTGGAGGGTTGGCTTTGTTTGCTCAAGCAGCGCAATGTCATCTGCGAAATCCAGGTCGGTGAGACGGATTTGGTCCTCCTATGGAATGCCAAATCCTGGTTTCATGATGAAGTCGATCATGAGGAGAAACAGGAATGGAGAAAGAATGCATCCCTGTCTGACGCCCGTTTCAATGTCAAAGAAATATGTCTGGCCATTTTCTGTCTTTACACAGCTTGAGTCTTGGTACAGATTTTTGATGATGGCAATGTAGCGCTGAGGAATACTGTAGATTGCTGCAATCTGCCACAGTGATTCTCGATGAACACTGTCGAAGGCTTTCTTAAAGTCGATAAAGTTGACCAGCAACGGTTTCTGGAATTCAATGCACTGCTCGATGGTATTCTGCAGTGTGAAGATTTGCTTGCTGCACAACCTTCCTTGTCTGAACCCAGCTTGCTCTTAACATAACTCTTGATCCACTGCAAGGAGGAGTCGATTGAGGTGGACGATGCTGAACACCCTGCTAGGCACTAAAAGGAGGGTGATTTCATGCCAGTTTTTGCAGTTGGTGAGAGTTCCCTTCTTTGGCAGTTTGAGGATCAGCCCCTTTCTTCCAGTCAGCTGGGATGTGCTCCCCCTGCCAGCAGTGGTTGAGCAACCTGGTCAACGCTTGCACCATGTCATCTCCACCGTACTTCAACATCTCTGCCAAGATTTGGTCCAGTCCAGGTCCTTTGCTGTTCTTCATGCATTGGATTGCTGTACTGACTTCGACAGTTGTAATCACTTCCAGGATCCAGGATCTCACGCAGCTACATCCAGGATCTCACGCGGTGTAATTGCTGCAAAGTTGTGGGTGGTGGTAGGAGCTACCTGGTTGAGTGTTTCTCCAGCGTGCATCCTGATCCTCCTTGCTGATAAGAATCTTCCCGTCTTTGCTCTTGATTGGCGCACTGGCATTGCTCTTCAACCCTCTTGAACAACTCTGTAGAGCATTTTCGTGTTGTTTCTGTTGGCTGCTTCCTGAACTTCGGCACATTTCCGCTTCAGCCATGCTTTTTTGTCAGCCCGACAGCTTTTCTTAACTTTTCTATCAAGGTCTTGGTATTTCCAGGTGGCTTTTTGTTTTTCTTCTTCTTTCTTCATCTGGTCATGGTGGTGTTTTACATTTTTTCTCTCATCGATCAACGTTCACGTGCAATCCTGAATCCAGCATTCTTACTGCATTGCTCTTCTGTGTCCGATCATCATCTCGGCTGTTTTGGCTGCTCGGGAGAGACCTTACCAATGCAGGATGACCACCTTGTGTCGAAAACAGTGGAGATGACAGTACACTTCAGGAGGAGCCCTCCAACCCTGCCAGCACTCACCATCCTGAACAGAACTGTGATGGCAGTAGAGTCCCGCAAGGTCCTAGGCACAACAATCACCAGGGACCTGAAATGGGACAGCAACATCAGCTCCATCATCAACAGAGCCAAGCAGAGAATTTACTTCCTGCGTCAGCTGAGAAAGTTCAACCTGCCCCAGGAGCTGATAATGCAGTTCTACACAGCCATCACAGAGTCCATCATCACCATGTCCATCACAGTGTGGTGTAGCTGAGCCACCAAGCATGACCTCCACAGACTGCAGTGCATCGTCTGGTCTGCAGAGAGAACAATTGGGGTTAAGTTGTCCACATAGCTGGAATTGCATGCCTCCAGAACCAGGAAGCATGCAGAAAAGATCTCTGCTGACTCGTCACACCCCGGCCACCACCTGTTCCAGTTCCTTCCCTCAGGCCAGCACTTCAGCCAGATGAGGATCAGGACATAACAGTCAGCTGTTTACCGGGAGCCAGAGCGCCGGACATTAGTGGCAACCTTAGACTGTTAGCTAATAAGAGATATTCAAGGATAGTCATCCATGTAGGGGCCAATGATATTCGTGATATGCGTCAATCTGAGGTAACTAAGGGTAATATTAGAGAGGTGATTAAACTGGCCCAGACGATGTCCGATGCCGTAATTTGTTCTGGTCCCATCCCAATGCGGCGCGGCGCTGAAGCCTACAGCAGACTCTCAGCATTAAACTGCTGGATGTCCAAGTGGTGTTCGGAAAATCAAGTGGGCTTTATAGATAATTGGTTACAATTCGAGGGCAAGCCTGGTCTTATAGGTAGGGATGGTTCTCTCCTTTTAGTTAAGCTGTTATAGTCAGATTTACCGGAGTCGTTAGCCACACTCTGGAAATGTTCACATTCTCTGTTTTACATACACTCAAACAGAACAAAACTAATTCCATCTCCCTACCTTTTTCCGAGTAAACGACTACCCACCTGCCGGACGGACACTGATGGATGATTGTCTGCGGAGCTCTCCTGCTACCCGCTTCAGACCAGTTGCCCACGCCCCAGTCGCCGCCACTTGCCCAGCTACCGCCACTTGACTTGGACTAGCTGCCCACTCCCACTCTACACTGAAGTTTTCATGGACTCCTAACTGCTACTACTACTACTTCTACTACTACTATTAATATTAGTAGTATAATAATTTTGTAGGTAGTTTGACCAGAGGAGGATGGGTCCCCCCATGTGAGCCTTAGTTCCTCCCAAGGTTTCTTCCTCAGCTCTGAGGGAGTTTTTCCTTGCCACTGTCGCCCCTGGCTCACTCACCTGGAGGATTTACATTTCATGTTAAAACTTTGTCCTTAATGGATTTCTGTGAAGCTGCTTTGTGACAACACCAGTTGTAAAAAGCGCTATACAAATAAATTTGACTTGACTTGACTTGACATCCAGGCTACAGAGGAGCTTCTTACCACGAGCCATCTCTCTCTTGAACAATTAAATATTACACATAAAAATATTCCAACTTCTAAACTGCACTTCTAAATATACTGGTATTTATTATCACACTCAACATTCCTTTCTTTGAAACCATCTGCCATCACAGACCAGTGTTTCTTCTAGCACCACTTACCTGCCTTATTATCCCACTTATCTGACTGTTACCTCACTTATTCCTTTCTTTGCCACTATACACCCTTTAATTGCTGCTGCACTCAGCACTTTAACTTAAGACACATACTTTGCACATCGTAAGGTTTACAGGTATGACTGTGTGTGTGGGTGTATGAGTGAGTAATGGTAGGAATGCATGTTTTATTTTTATTTTATTTTATTTTATTTTATTTTCTACATGTAAATGTTTGTCAGATACTGTGCACTGTGAGCTCCTATAACTAAAACCAAATTCCTTGAATGTGTAGGCACACCTGGCCAATGAAGCTTGATTCTGATTCTGATTCTATGTCCTGAATGAATCCACGAAGGTAACTGATTATCTGGCTAAAATTAGAATAATGGCTAAGCTACTTAATGCTAAATTATAGTCATGCCCTTTCAGTGAGCAGTGTTCATGATGTGACTTGTTTGTCTGGCATGCAGTGCTCTATTTTTGCTTTAACATTGTTATCAGTCTAAGCTGATTTTATAGTGCTTATGTTGGGCAACTAGCCACAGTGTCTGGTAGGTGAAATAAATCATCCAGTCAGATGTGAATATTTAGCCAGATCAATCTTTCTTAATCATTTGACTTTATTATTTTATGTCATAATTTTACTTGTTTACACTACAATGGCTACAATGGCTGATAGAAACAAGGCCGACTGTAAACCTTTCATCTGCTGTATGCTCCAAAACACACCATAGTGTGAATCTATTTAACTGAGGCCACTTGCCAAAGTGAGTGGCAGGCGTATGGCAGTAACTGTGAAATCTGAAGTAACTGCAGATAGAAAGTAAATGTTACAGTATATTACTGAGAAAAAAATGTTATCACTCTTTATAAGCAACAAAAACACCAGCTCTGCAGCACCACACCAAAACGGGCATTGGCAGGTAAGTCATTTTTCAAAAACCTGAGACCACAATAATTTGCTTTACTGCAACAGCTGGATGACATAATAATAACTCTACACAAATAAGACAGATGAACCGCAACCAGTTCATCTGTTTCAGATGCTGGCAATTGTACTTGTCTCTCACTGTAAAAGATGAGAAATCATCTCAGCTTGAAATTACAAGGTAATGGATAACACTGCTTTTGTTGAGGACACCGGAGTTCACCCAACTTAAACTTCTTAGTTTAGTCTAAAGGTCTTATAGCTCTCATTTCTAGTTTCTCAGTTAAATAAATACAAATTTGTTTTTTACTCCACTTTGTTTAATTTGTTTCTTCACTATCAGACTCTTTCTCTCACAGTTTCTCCTTTTGTGCCAGAAGTGAGCTATGAGATTGCTGGGGTCCAAACTCACAATCTCCTGATGTTGGGGGTCATATTCTTAGACCATTGCACCACATTACTCATCAAAGTTAAAACAATTCTTTTACAGTTTGCTAAACATTAAAAGACAGAAATGTGAGGAACCTCAGGAGCCTGCAAGTGATGCAACAGGCTAAGAATTCACCCCACCAGGAGGTTGTGAGTTTGAACCCAATGCCATAGCTGTCCGTAACTGGGAGCCCAAGAGGAGAAAGTGCCTGGTGGGACTGTGTGATGGAAAGAGTCCCAGCTAATGGAAAAACTGACTAATAAACATTAGTTTAAGTTCTATGCTGTTTACATAACTGAGATGCAGAACTGAATATGTTAGACCTTTTGAAAGTTGTTTTGATATAAGTTGTTTGAACTCATCCTCAAGTTGAGTTAACGCGAGAAGAAGTGCAATCAGTTACCTTTTCATTTTAAATTGGGCCAACTTTCAATTTTTAACAGGGCAAGAATGAACTTTTTAATTACAGTTGAGGGTTTGGGCTCCCAAGTGGAACTAGCTTACACTGCAAGAACTGCTAAATAAATACTTCTCCATTTGATATTGTTGTAAGAACATTAGATATTAGATCATTTGATTTAATTCTATACATATAAATAGGAGAAAGAAAAAAGTGAGTCACCTTGTAAAGCCTGAAATAATAATTTAAAAAGTCAGAATTGTGGGGTCGAGTGTTTCGAATCATATGTCTTTATGTATTAACATCAACATGTTAGATTAAAATATCATTCACTTTTTCTGAAAATACATCCTTTAGAAAGTTTTGACTGAGTTCTCTTTGAATACTCTTTCAAGGAGATCGCAACCATCAGATTCACCCAGTTGGGGAAGGTATATGACGCTTAAACCACGTTTCTTGTAATTACATGCAATTATGTGCAATTTTTACCAGAGAGATTTCCAAGTACTCAACATTTACACAATGCACTGTATTTTCCACCTCAAATTCCTTTTTCAGTATGACCTACTAAGCAATCTTGACAAGGGAGGCAAGTTGATATTTCAACTGTGCTAAAAGACTACAGTGCCAGTGCCCAAACTGCACAAACTCTGTAAAAGCACCCACTAGGTGGTTTGGAGGTAGACTGCAGTTACCTGCTCTGCAGTACAGGTAAAACACTGTTATTTAATTTTCATCACCTGCATGGATGAACTTGATGATGGTTTTCAATTATTTATAGGCTTCTTTTGTATGTGCCTTCAGGAAGAAAGTCAAGAAGAATGTTGTGTAAATGCTGTGTGTTGTAAATCAGCAGAACTACACATTTTCTGTTTGTGTTTGCTTTACAGATCAAGCGGCATCTTGAATTCAACTCCGATGACAGAACCAGAATATCTAGGCTATGAAAACCACACAAACCTGACCACAGTTCCACCACCTTGCAGGGATGTGCCATGCATTTTCTATGCAGCAGTGAATGTCATCATCTTCATCCTGGGTGTTGCTGGAAATGGTTTGGTGATCTGGATTGCAGGGTTTAAAGTGAAGAAATCTGTCAATGCTACCTGGTACTTGAGGCTGGCTGTGTCTGATATCATATTTTGCTCCTTTCTGCCCATCGGCATTGTTCATGTGATCAGAGACAATTGGATCTTTGGGCTTTTCATGTGCAAGTTCCTGTTCTTCCTCATGTTCTTAAATTGGTTCAGCAGCATCTTCCTCCTCGTCATCATCAGTGTGGACCGCTGTGTGGTTGTTATGTTTCCTGTGTGGGCTCAGAACAAGCGCACTGTAAGAAAGGCCTCTGTGATAGTCATGCTAGCTTGGATCATCTCAGCAGCACTTAGCCTACTGACAGCCTTTCACCTAGATGTTAAGTATGATTACCAAACCCAGACAACTATTTGTCACACAAATTACAAGAATGATCAACAGAAGGTTGCGGATGTGGTGTGCAGATTCATTTTTGGATTCTTGATCCCGTATCTGATCATTATCATCTGTTATGTTGTCATCATTCGAAAGCTGAAGTCCAACCAGACGACCAAGTCCAAAAAGCCATTTAAGATCATGACGGTGCTGATTGTTACTTTCTTGATCTGCTGGCTGCCTTATAACACTTTTGCTTTGATGGAACTAGACTTTGAAAAATATAAGAGTTTTTACTGGTCAGGATCAAAAGTTATTCTTGTTCTCGCTAATGCTAACAGCTGTCTGAACCCGTTTTTTTTTTGTGCTTTCATGGGGAAGGACTTTAAGGACCAATGTTATGCGCTTCTGTCCAAGATTGAGAATGCAATAGCAGAAGAGGAGGACCTGAACAAGGTCCAAGGCACAGTTCTTACCACCTCTGGGGAAAACAAGCTTTCAACTACTGTCTGAAGTGTTCTGTAACAGTTAAAAGAAAAGAACTAGGCTGTCAGTTTTACACTAAAAACAACTAATTTTCTTCACTTTTTCTTTCTTTATACAATTTTGCTGTTAACTTTTACATCTTTAAATATTTTTAAGGTTTTTTTTTAGTGTTACCTTAAATCCTGATAAGCATGATTGTTATCATCTGTTATAGTGTTGGATTAGTGTGTTTGACTGTTGTCCTCATTTTTATGCTCCAAAGCAATAAAAAACATGCTTTTCCTTTATATTTCTTCTTCTAAAACAAATTTAACAAAACTGTAGCATGCTAATGTTTGAACACTTCACAGGCCACATTTTTACCCGGTGTGTTCAATTCAGCAATTAAACCGTAATAGTGCCTTAAAATGTCCAGAAGTGTTTTCTGTAGAGAATGTTTTCTTACTTAGTATTAAATAAATGGATTTATTTTCACTCACCAAAATGTCATTTGACCTGGGCATCTAAAGTTTGGCATGTGATGAGCAAAAAAGCTAACATGGGTTTGGGAGGATGCCAAAAATGCCACTCTTTTTTGCATTTCCTGGCCACCAGGGTTCAAACATAGTCATTACAATCCATCAAGGTATCACATTATTTACTGTCAATGTGTAAATTTGGGCATATTTGGATTCCAAGCTAAACCTAAACACTTAAAAATTATAGTTCTTCAAAGGTTAATGCAGTGGTTCTGTTTGGAGTTATATGTAGAATTATTTCATGCTTAAATGATTCTTTACATGGTGAAATGGTACTTCAGATTGATGTAGAATATGTTCTGGGAAGCTTCTGGGAACTTCCAGAACTCAACTCCCCGCTCAACAAATGCAGTCCATTTTGGGAAAATATAAAATAGTTCATTTTGAATTCACTGTTTCTATGTCTTGAAAAAAACAGCATTTATATATGTACACCCATTCGGACGAAAGCAGGTAAGCTCAGCCTATTCACGCTCAAGTTATGAGTAGTGTTTCAGTTGAGGCACAACAGAGGGCAGCCAGTCAAAACAGAGATCATTCAGTCTTAAAGTCACAACCTGTTTAACTCAAATGAATAAAGAGAGGTCGGAAAATGATCATGTGAAAAAGAATTATAGCTGTTTTGTTACATAAAACCTAACCAAACATTTGGTAGACCTGAGGGAAAAAACTAAAATACAAGGCAAGGGCCATTATGGAGGGATATGGGCCATTAAGTTGTATACAGCATTTTTTGCATTGTAAATGTCTACTTTCACAGCAGTCATTGTACACTGTGTAGCCAAAGGTTTGTACACACTTCCTATGTTGTCACTAGCAACACTTCAGAAACCACCTGCTATACTTTAGCAACTCTTCATTAAAACAGCCGAGCAAGAATACCATATAAACCAACCCACCTGGAATATTTTAAGCTGTGCAATCAATTCAAATTTTCCTCAGGGAATGTACTCTTCTAGTTTAATTTAGTGTTTTATTGTATTGCTGTTGTAATATCAATTCTGTCTTTTTGTATTATGTAAAGAAGACCACAATGGAACTGAACTTTAGGGCTTAATTGTGGTTTAATCCTCAGTGGGGATAATGTGTGCAATGGCTGCTACACTGTGTATTGAAAATTTCAAATAAATTGGAACTCTTTCAGCAACATCTTGCCCAACTGTGCAGTGGATGTGCTGTTACAGAGAAGGGATTTGGTTTTCAACTCCGACTTCAGTTCTGAGAACTAAAGGCACCACAGAGAAGAACCGAATGTCACAATGTTTTACTGAAATAATTGTCCCTCGTCACAGGGACAGAGCTCTGCAGCACCATACAGAGCAGTTGTTGACTGGTGAGTCATTGTTCATTCAAATTTAAACCATATTTGGGCCAGATTCATAATACTCAGCAGTCTCCCTGCTTCAAGAGAAACACTTTCACATAAATCCATATCTACCCCACTACCTACAGTCTGTTCAGATTACTTTTTGGGTTAATGAAGTGAAAAACTAAATCTTATGCAGCCGTATGCCTCCATAATTGAGACAAAAACACAACTGAAATGCACTGGTGTTTTTTGAAGGAAGAAGACATTGTGTTTCTAACAGTTTGTTTTGTTTTGGATCTCACATTTAACTGACTGAGCATTGGATTTGGCTACCGCAGCTTGGCAGAAGGTTCACAGTGTTTCATATGATCAGTTTTTGAAATATTTTTGTGTTGCTTTTGATCATCCACTTGAAGGAAAAGTTAGTGGAGAATTATTATCCAAATTCCATCAAGGTAATCGTTCCGCTTCTGATTATGTGCTCAATTTCCACTCTTTGGCTGCCAGCAGGGGGTTGAATGAACCAGCACTGTAATGTTTCGACAAGGACAAGAAATTGTGACTGAACTAGCTTGTTAAGACAACAACAGGCTATATGCACAAACCTCTTCTGGATGTCACTCAGCCAACTTGGTGGTTTCCTGCAAAATGGAAAGTTAGCAATTTTTACGAATTGTCGGCAGCTGCCATACTCCCAAATCTTTTTACATAAGATGTTTACAAGACCTCCCGCACTTTACCGTTAATGACTTTCACCAGATTGTCAGAGTTACATCCGTTTCCTTTACCAGCAAGAGGGAGAAAGGCTTCAACTTTATGTCTCCAGTTACATTGACAACTATGAGAGTCAGTATGTGAAGGCTAACACAAACTATTACAGTGTTCGGTTAAGTTAGCAAGCCAGCTACCTTAACATTAGTATCTAAATTACGCTATGTTTACGTATTAGAAATGACGTTATAATCTTGAATATTTCAATGAATGTTGTCATTCAGAGTCACCTATGTTTTCCTTTATTTCTCAGTCTCTAGTAAAGATTGTTTAATGATAAAGACGGAGAGGCCACCCAGTTTGAGAGTAGGGTTTATAGTTAGCTAGCTAACTACAGAGTACCAGAGCAAGCATAAATTATTTATGTAGCTATATTTCATTGATCTGATTAAAACAAGCAGTTTTTTGAAGACTCTTGGAATAACACATCTGATATGTTTTGGCTTTGAAGCGTATGTATATTGAAATATGCCAACCTGATGATCATACATTTGTCTTGAGCATTTTTTGTATTATCTGATTGTTGATAGTTTTCAGGATGAATGGACTACATAAAGTTACCAGTAAACATACAGTAAACATAACACAAAGGGTATAGTGTCGACATTTTACAAGATAATTTCTGTGTTGAACTGTAACTAATTTAAATTCTTAATCTTCTTGAAACTGGTGGCACCTTTTCTTTGATCTTCTGTTGTTTTATTGATATATGCATGTCAGTAGTTTCAGCAGGACCTAAAGAAAGAAAAGTGACTGAGGGAGTGAGCTGAGATATAAAACGTTTTATCATCCACAGAGGCTGGTCTGTTAATGAATAAATGATTATTTATTCATTACAATGTACATTAGATCAATGCAGAATTTATTATGGAAATATGCGACAACAGTGGGAAGACCTGACTCAGTTTTGATTAAAACAAAAATATTTAACAGAAATTAAACACCAGTTATTCAAATTTGGCAATAGAATATATGGACCAAATTAAGAAATTAGTTTAAACTGTGGTCCCACAGTAAAACATCTATTAAAAAAACAATTAGATGCACAGAGCTTGGATACTTACAAGAATTGGGTTATGAAACTCAATAAAGCATTAATATATAGGAATAAGTTAAATATATTCAAAAACATAATTTAGGATAGTTTCTATTGTGAGATGGCTGTCCCAAACTCTAATCCCTAAATTTACATTTGTGAAGATAATATTTTTTGCATGATTTCGATTTATCAGAGGGTTTTTTTTTTGTAAATAACAAAAAAAAACCTTTATGTAAAAAAAGCTGTCCCACACCCATTTTACAGTTACAAAGTCTTAAAATCAGTGCGTATCCAGTCTTATCAGCAAAGGGCTGCAGGTCTTTAATCTAAACGATTGCGCGTTGAATGCTGCCCTTGCTGTGGTGACGTGCAACATGTTGCTAGTCCATGGTTCTATAAGGCTCCAAAATGCCATAAGATGGTTGTATGTTGCAATCCTGAGTGATATAGAGAATCTTAGTAATAATGATTTGTGATGAAGAATAAGGGTAAGAGGAAGTTATCAGACCCTGTGCAAAGTTCAGATGTTTTTGTCTAGTCCAGATGGAAGTCCAGGGTGACTAAGACCATCTTAGACCAGTGTTTCTCAAACCTAGTCCCAGAGGCCCACTGCCATGCACTTTTTCGTGTTTTCCCTGCTCCCAGCAAACCTGATGCAAGTAATTAGTCTATTAACAGCCCATTATTGAGTTAAAGGGGCTGTGCTACAGCAGGAAAAGCACTAAAATGTGCATGTCAGTGGGCTTTCCGGACCAGGGTTGAGAAACACTGGCTTACATCATCTGCAAACCAGCTACCAGCAAAAGTGGATACTTCATCATACCTCTGCATCAGCCTTGTAGGTGCGTATGGTATGCATCATTTCAGCTTAAGATAAACTTAAAATCTCCAAGATGCCGTAATATACCAAACATGAAAAAAACTACATCATCTTAAACCTAGAAGCGTATGTCTACATCAGAAGATGCAAATCTCCTCAAACAGAAGCGCTGTGTTGTTTATTAAATAGCGATGATGTGAAGATGACGAAGAAGTCTCTGCTGACACGGCCTTGCTTGTATAAGATGTTTATTACAAAGTAAAACAGTATCATATCAAGCACTATAAAGTCTCAAAAACAAAAAAGTAACACATACATGTTTGCAGTTGTAACAAAATAACAGTTCCTCCTACACATGCTTCCTACAGCGTAACCTTAGCAATACAACAACTTTCTGGAGTGTGAGAGCGAAAAACCTGTCAGGCAGCTATCTTTCCTGAAATGTCCATCAAACAATCTAGACAGGAAAAATTCTCTCACGGTCCCTCTGCCTTAGGCGACCACATGGAGTCCAGACCACTTTAAAAGGAGGTATTTTGATAAATTCTATAGAGATATGGCTTAAGCAAA